TCAAGGTACAGATTCCTCATGAGTACAATCAAGTGCTCGGGGATTCCCATTCTTCTCAATGTTATCCATAATTTGTCATGATCCACACAATCAAATGCTTTTGCGTAGTCAATAAAACACAAGTAATCATCTTTCTGGTATTCCCTGCCTTGAGCCAAAATCCATCTTCTTCTTGTAGGATGTCTTTATCTATTCCGTCTTTTTCAGTGTGACAGTGACTATTTACACAAACAATGCGGTCACTTTGGCGTAAGCCCTCAACACAAAAGACAATAGAGTCCAAGTTCATTGCAGTAGACAGCTAGAAAGGAGCAAACCTCAGTCAGACGAGACCTTCCCCTCAGTCCGGAATCCTTGTCATCCTCATCTGTTCCTTGCTGGGAATATTCTTTGGTAGACCATCCATGCTCCAGTTCAAATCTTCTTTTGGAAGCTGTTTTACACAAATATGAACTTTGAGTCTTCCATTGCTGATATTGCATCCTCTTCGTTCCCATGACTGCCCATCATCACAGCCCTTCCCTTGCTCTTGGAGGAAATGGAGGTCTGCCTGCCATGGGTCTGTGATGAGATGCTACAGTTGGTCCTGTGCTGAGCACAGTGGGTAATGCTAGTGCCTTCGAATGGATGTGAGAGGCTTGTTACCTGCAGGCTGCAGAAGAACAGCCCCTGAATGGGGACTGTGCTGGTGTGTTGCGTCCACCTCTGCCTGCTGCCGTTGAGCTTGAAGACCAGACTTCAGCTGCACAGATAAACAGAAAGAACCTACTCCAGGCCAGCCAGCTCTGGGGATTCTCAGTGTGCCCAGTGAATGGGAGCAAAAGTAGGAAATGTGGTAGTTCTGTCCATGTCTCCTGGTGTTTCTGTTGGATAGATCCTTGGCCTTTTGAACTGTGGCTATTGCTGTGCTGTGCACGGGTCCTGGTATTGTTGGGGGCTGTTGGTGGTGGTTGTTGGTAGTTGCTGTGGGGTAGCCTCCAACTCTTGGTGACCTGATGTGTAACAGAATAAAATGTTGTCTGGTCCTGTGCCGTCCCCATGGTCACCGCTGTGTTTGAATCTACTGTTGTGGCTGTTGTGTCATTCCATCTCATGGAGGGTCTCTCTCATTTTTGCGGACCCTCCACTTTACCAAGCATGATGTTCTTCCCTTCTACTTGGTCTTTCCTGATGACGTGTCCAAAGTGACGTGTCCAAATTAAAGTGTCCAAATCTTGCCATCTTTGCTTCTAAGGCAGTATTTCTTCTAAGACTGATTTGTTCATTCTTCTGGCAGTCCACGGAACAGTCAGTTTTCTTCACTGACACCCCTGTTCAGATGTACTAATCCTTCTGTCTTCCTGTGTACTGTCGGTTGCTTTTGGTCACAGTTGAGTTGATTCTGACTTGTGGCAACTCTATGTCTTTCAGTGCAGCAGTGTACTCCAAAGAGTTTTACTTCTGCACCAACCAAACTTTATTTTATGTTGAAACATGCCAGCTGCCCAGTGATCAGCTGAAACGAAAAGAATAAGAAATGTTTTTGCATCCATTGTAATCAGAGTCCACAGGAGTAGAGCTAAAAGAGACCTTCATGATATGAGATGTTGAGTGGTGTGTCTGAGCACACACAGAGCATGAGGTCTAAATACCTGACAATCTGCCAGTGCTCTTCTTCTGTTGCCCAGAGTGTTATGGGATGAGGGACTGCATCTTTGGACTTTCAGCATCCAGAGTATCATCAATGCAAAGTCCCATGAAAGGAGAGAAGGTAACACACCTGACTGTAGGAGGCTAGATGAGTGATAATGCTAGTGAAAGTTCAACGTCTAGAAAGCAATGTGTAATCTGGGATGTATTAGGACACCTTCAGGTGGAAGTAACAGAAATACCTGTGGTCTGAAATAATTGTTGTTGGGTGTCATGGAGTCAATCCCAATCCCCCGTAGCACAGCGTAGAACTGCTCCCTAGGGTTGTCAAGGCTGCGTCATTCAGAAACAGATGGCCAGGCCTGCCTTCCAAGCACAGCATTTTCTTGGCTGTCATCTTAATGGAAGCAGACCTTCTCGTCTTTTCTTCTGTGATACTGCTGTGTGGGTTTGAACCGCCAACCTCTAGGTTAGCAGTCAAGCACACACCCTTTGCACCATTTAGGGACCTTATGCTGTGTGCTGGGGTGGTGTGATGGATGTGCCCACAATATCAGATAGGCTTTGTTTGCCTATTGACTCCTCCCCTTTCTGGCCACCTCATCTCTTTCTTCCTTCTTAAGAATAGAGATAATAAGCCCAAGCTCAGTGCCTATGGCACTTGACTGCTAACCAGGAGGCTGGCGGTTCCAACCCACCAGCCACTCCTCAGAAAGAAGGTTGGGCAATCCTATCTCCGTAGTGATAACTGCCTCGGAAACCCAAGGAGGGGTTGCTAGGAGTCGGGACCGACTTGATGGCAAATAACAACAACAACAACAGAGTGTTGCTGTAAATATATTGTATTGTATTGTATTAATTATTAGATATGTAAAGTAGTTAGCATAATGCCTGGCACAGAGGAAGTACTCAGTAACTAGAAGGTGTTTATTGTTATCAACTTGGTAGATTAGTAGGTGCAGTTACAGTTTTTCATCCATCTCTTAACTTTCTTCCACTTGGTGAATTCGTGAACCTTGGTGAGCCAGCTGGGCTTCTGGGGCTTCCTGGTTTCCTGGCCTCCATCTGTCACCGCAACGATGGATAAGGTTGGGAGGGTTTTCTGAACCGGACCTGACCATTCAGTTACTAACTGGCCGATTGACTTAAGTAAGTTATTCAAAAACAATTTTACTAAATGCTACATTTTGTTTTGACTTTAAAACTGGTCACTTTTAAAAAAATAGATGCATTATATTTTATGTGAATAATAACAAAAATAAAAAAGCCACCAAAATTCTTATACAAGTGAAGTACCACTTGGAAATCCACATGGTTGACAACATTTCTGAGCTAAACTAACACAGCTTTAAGCCAAAATACCCTTGTTTAGGATGTGCATCTGGAGATAAGCAAGAAAACATCTGTCTTCCTGTTGTGGCTGGTTTGATATTTTAAACTGATTTCCTTTAGAGCTGGGTATAGCTGTTGTGTACGTGAGTCTACCATTAACAGCCACCTCCAGACTGATGCCCCTGGGTGCACGTGCCTACCTGCCAGTGCACCTGGGTGCCCAGACCCATCTGCTGAGGCACCTGACAGCACTGCTGTTGCATAATCCCATTTCAGCTCTTGATAGGCACGACTGAAGACCGGCTGTTAGGAGTAACTCTTACAAACAATGGAGGACCAATGACAAGAATTCCTTTGAAGAAGGGTCACATGGAATCTCTTGCTGAAATTTATTCATATCACTTTGGCATATTTTTAGGTTTTATCTGCGATTTACAGTTGTCCAATTCGTTTGCTCAAGTCTTGTCACACAGGATTAAACACAGAATAACTATTAGTTATGTCAACATCTGTGTTATCTCACACACACATCCACACACATCCACACACATGTGCACATGTCCTCTCTCATACATCTATTGTATTGTCAGAGCTGTACTGTCGGAGTTTTCTCTCCAAGACCTCAGATCCTCATCCACATCCTGTCATTATGGGTTACATCCTTCCTTCTCCAAGTAAGCAAATATAAAAGAAATTATATTTCATGAGCCCCAGAATCCATGGCTATTGATGTAATCATGTTCTGTAATTGAGGTCCTTCCATCCTCACTGGCAGGGGCTGGTTCATTTTATACTGGAAAATGCATGAGCTGCTGTTCCCTGAGAAAACTGTCATTATTAAGTAATAAGCAGACATCACCCAACACTTCCTGAAATTCTCCTGAGGGCAGACATAAGGGCTGAATTGTAACAGGTATGTCTGTCTTCTCTCAGTTTACCTGATCCTTGCAGTTGACCATCTGGAGCTGATCGCACACGGCTGTTTAAATTGGTGAGTCCACCATTAACTGTCACCTCCACATTGATGCCTCCTGGGTACACGTGCCTACTTGCCAGTCCACACACAGTTGGGCCACTGGTAGGGAGGAAGCTTCCTACTTGATGGTCTCAAAGGAAAAGGGCAAGCTAGGACAAAGAAACTAAAGATCACTTGGTAACATAAAGTATGAGAAGAGGATCAGAAGGAAGGTCGGGCAATCTCCTTCTGTAGAGATACTGCCTCGGAAACCCAAAGAGGGCTTGTTGTGAGTCGGATCCAACGGCAGTGAGTTTGGTTCGGTTTTGGTTGTCACTGGATACGTCCCACTGTGGTGGGGTGGTAGGGCAGTGTCTGAGATGTCCAGAGGGAAGCCCTAGTAAGCAAAAACGATTGGTAGGAATATCATTCAGATTTCAGGAAAATATCTTCCCGCTCTTTTTTATTTTATTGAATTCAGAAAAGACCAGAAACTTTCTCACCAAAAAGTCCTCCCATAATAACTACTAATTCAAGTCCGATTTTAACCTTCTACAGTTCATTGGAACTCATTCCCCCATTTACGAGCGATGTTTAGGAGAAGATACTATGTTCTACTGAATTGGATCCCAAGACTATACTTCTTTTCTTTTTGATTTCTAGCTGCTGTGCTTGGTGCCATGGTGTTGCTCATCCATGGTCATGTTCTACCAGAATTTGGGTGCTGATCTGGCTGAGCCGTTCTAGCAGAACTTTAAGTATCTAATGGGTAGTTACACTATGTGGTCTAAAAGCTACCCTTCTAATCCTAGATTCCCATGATTTGTTATTTCTGTGTCTTTAGTTTGCTCCTCAGAAGCTCATGGACCAAAATCAAATAAACTCTTGCCACTGAGTTGATTCCAATTCATAGTGCCCTTATAGGACAGAGTAGAACTACCTCATAGGGCGTCCAAGGCCATCTGTCTTTTCGGAAGCAGACTGCATCATCTTTCTCCCACACAGCAACTGCTGGGTTCAAACTGCTGACCTTTTGGTTAGCTGCCTAGTTCTTAACGGCAAAGCCACCTGAGATCCTTAAGTCATGGACAAGGGAAATAAGAGCAAGACATGGATGAGTGAATTCTTCTTGCTGGGGCTCTCCAGTGACTGGGGGACTCAGATCTCCCTCTTTGTCCTGTTCTTGGCCATGTACTTTGTGACTCTTGTGGGAAATACCGTCATTGTCCTCCTCATCAGACTGGACAGCAGGCTGCATACCCCCATGTACTTCTTCCTCAGTGTCCTGTCCTTTGTGGATCTTTGTTATGCAAACAGCATTGCCCCTCAGATGCTGGTCCACTTGCTCTCAGTCCACAAATCCATTCCAATGCACCGCTGTGTGCTCCAGCTATACATGTCCCTGGCACTGGGTGGGTCCGAGTTCTTCTTGCTGGGGGCCATGGCCTATGACCGGTACGTGGCCGTGTGCCACCCCCTGCACTACATGGTCATCATGCATGGAGGGTTGTGTCTCAGGCTGGCCACCGGCTGCCTGGCAGCTGGCTTCATGAACTCACTGGTGGAAACCATCATTACCTTCCGACTTCCTCTGTGTCACAATGTCATCAATCACTTTGCCTGTGAGACCCTGGCCGTGCTTCGGCTATCCTGCGTAGACATCTCCTTCAACAAGGTCATGGTGGCCATCTCTGGCTTTCTGGTAATCATGCTCCCCTGCTTCCTGGTCCTGTTCTCCTATGCTCACATAGTGGCTGCCATCCTGCACATTTGCTCAACGCAAGGACGCCACAAAGCCTTCGGAACCTGCGCCTCCCACCTCACTGTGGTCTCCATGTGCTTTGGGGCTACCATCTTCACTTACCTGGGGCCACGGTCTAGCTCCTCAGTAGAGGGGGAAAAGATGGTGGCCCTGTTCTATGCTGTGGTGGCCCCTATGTTGAACCCCTTGATCTACACTTTGAGGAATAAGGAAGTTATGGCTGCACTCAGGAAAGTGGTAGAGAAATTGAGAGATGAAGGGTAAGGACTGTAGAAACTTCTTGTGCTCTATGCTCAGCACCATAAAGGAGAGCAGGTAAGTGGAGACAGGACTCCCACATTTACACTAAGCAAGACAATGATGGCCTAGGGACCATGTGTGAACAAAATACCCTCCCTCCTCTACATGATTAATAGGCCTCCGCACGTAGGTCAAAGCCTAACAACTTACACATCAGTAACTTACATGTCCCTGAGAGGGACCCCTCTTAGACCTTTGTTTCTCAGGTACCGAGGGGTCTTTGGACTTCATCTGCCCGCTTTTGATTTTGTCTGTGTACTGCACATGAAGGAAGATCCCTGGGTTTCCAATTCTTGCTCTGCCTCTCATTAGTTGTGCTTTTAAGCACGTTATCTAACCTTTCTATGGGTCAGATTTTGGTTCTGATGAAACAAGGAAATAATACCAATTTTGCCAAGTGGTGTATATTTTCAGGTAATTTGTGTACAATGCCTGGCATGTAGTGGACAAAGCACTGTTTTAGCCCTTGATCCTCTGTTATGAATAGAAATATATGAATAGAATATGTTTACTTCTTTAGTGCTTCTCTGTATGGTTAGCCAAGTGGTACGTGTGCTTCATGAAACATGTAGCAAGTAAGTTTGCTCATCCTTGGCAATGACTTACACACAATGCCAGAAATTCAAGACAGAATCACTTCAGACAGGCTGGGCTAGCTGCCTTAAAGAGTTCTGGTCCTTCCTGATAAAGAGGAAGTTTTTACAATAATTATGAATAAACTTATAAAATAAGTGACATGTTTGTTCCTTTTTCCTGATTATAATCCTAAATTTATTTTTAAAATTGACCTGAACTCTCCTAATTTTGCAATTAAGACCTCTTTTTGCAAACTGTGATGTAGTTAGGCAAATTTCTTGTAAAATCACCTTTTCCAAAGAATTTACACTTATTAATTTTTCCATTAAATTTGTGTGTATGTGTGGTGTTTCTTGAGTTGGGCCACTGACCAAAACAAACAAACAAAACTTTGTACCATTAACTAATTTATAACATTATTTCCAATGACTTGAAGAAAAACAAAAGAAATTTCTAGAAGAGTAAAGTTTACTTTTGCATAAATTAGGGGAGAAACTCTGATGTCACTAAGCTAATTATTATAACCATGCCTCTTCTAATGCCTAATCCCTCCAGGGCTAACTTTCAAACTTTCTCATTTATTCTTATAAAGCTACTGGTTGTAAGCATCTTCATTCTCTAGATATGCAACAAATCTGGAAAGATTGTTGTGACATCTAAACCTACCTAAAATTATTACCTTTTTGGCCCTCTGTCTATACCATTTTCAGTTTTAAAAAGTGTAGTCCCTATTTCGTAAATTGCTGAGATGCTAAACATGGATTGTTAATCAGCACAGCGACTTTATGTCCCTATCCGCAGAGATGTCACTCAGCAGATTCCGTGTGTTCTTTCCATCTGCTTTTGTTCCAAATCTTATCTGTTCTGTTGTTACTGTTCTTGAGCATCTACACAGAAAAGCAGAGACCAATTCAACAGTTTCTATCTGGACAGTTCGGTGGCACGGATGACATTCTTCAAGTTGTGCGAACGTTCTCACCCTCCTCTTCTGAGATGTCCGTCCCTCATTAACATGAACTCACTGCCTCCAAACGTTTTTATCTGATCATTGAGTTCCCACTGTCAATTTGATCTCATATAGCTCTTAAAAGAACACAGTGCTCAAGGCACACTTTTTTTTTTTACCACTTAAGCTAAACTATTGTTCAGTTTTAAGATGACTTTAGGGGATATGTTTATTTTAAGGTTTAAAAATATTTTCAGAACAATTGTTTCAGGGATTCATCTACCTCCATGGTTCCAGAAAGGCTAAAATTAGAATTTGAAATTCTGTTCTGCATTTTGCCCCTTTTGATCAGGAGTCTTGTATGAAGTCTTTGATTAAAATATTCAGTAATGGTAGCTAGGCACCATTCACTTCTTTTGGTCTCATGGCAAAGGAGATAATTGATCATGGAGGCAATTAGCTACACATTCCATTTCTCTCCTATTCTGGACTCTCCTTCTTCTGTTGCTCCAGGTGAATAGAGACCAATTGTTGTGCCTTGGATGGCCACTTGAAAGCTTTTAAGACCCTGTGCACTAAGCAATGAACCAGGAGGTAGAACCGAAGCATTAAGCATGTTATTAGGTCAATTGACTGGGATTTCCCATAAAACCTTGAACCTGGACCTCCCATCCAAGGAATCAAATCTCATGAGGTGTTTGGTTGTACATAAACAGCCTCAGCGCTACTCTCTGTTGTTGTTGTAACTGTGTCCATCACACAACTTTTGCTAATTCAACTTTTTACAGGTGTACAACTTAATGACAGCAAGTATAAAAATCATGAAAAGACGTTCAGTATTATTAGCCATCAAGAGATTCTAATCAAAACCATAACAAGATATCATATCATGCCCACAATGATGGCTAAGATTAAATAATAATAATAATAAAATAATAAATGTTGTCAAGGATGTGGAGAAGCTGGAACCCTATCCATTTGCTGGTGGGCATACAAAGTGGTACAGTCATTGTGGAAAATAGTGTAGTGATTCCTCAAAAAAATAAAAATAGAACTACCATGTGACCCACCAATTCTACTTCTAGGTATTATCCAACCCCAAAGAATTGAAAGCAGAGACTCAAAACAATGATACACCAATGTTCACTGTAGCACTACAGATGAACCGATAAACGAAATGTGGTGCCTACACACAGTGGAATCATACTCAGCCAGTGTTGTTGTTGTTGTTAGGTGCCATAGAGTCGTTTCTGACCCATAGTGACCCCATGCACAGCAGAACGAAACACTGCCCAATCCCGCACCAGCTCCATGATCCCTGCTATACTTGAGCTCAATGTCGCAGCCTCCGTGTCAATCCATCTCGTTGAAGGCCTCCCCCTCCTTTGTCGACCCTCCACCTTACCAAGCATGACATCCTTCTCCAGGGAATGGTCCCCTCTGACAACATGACCAAAGTAGGTGAGACGAAGTCTGGCCATCCTTGCTTCCAAGGAGCATCTCGGCCGCACCTCCTCCAGGACAGATCTGTTAGTTCTTTTAGCAGTCCATGGTACCTTCAGCATTCTTCGCCAGCACCACAACTCAAAAGCATCAACTCTTCTTCGGTCTTCCCTATTCATTGTCCAGCTCTCACATGCATACAAGGTGATTGAAAATATCATGGCCTGTGTCAGGCACACCTTAGGGCTCAAGGAGACATCCTTTCTCCTCAGCACTTGAAACAGTTCCTTTACAGCTGACTTGCCTAGTGCCACACGTTGTCTAATGTCCTGACTGTTGCTTCCATTGACCTCGATTGTAGAACCAAGCAACATGAATTCTTTGACAGCCTCAATCTTCTCTCCATTTATTGTGATTCTGCTCATTGGTCCAGTTGTGAGGATTTTTGTCTTCTTTATATTGAGACGTAATCCATCCTGCAGACTGGGTTCCGCAGTCTACTCAGCCAGTGGGAGAAATGAAGCCTTGGTACCTGCTACAGTACAGAGCACAGGCTGGAGCTGCAAGACATTACCCTGAGTGAGATTACCCAGTCACAGAAGGACAAATATCGTGTGACCTTACATATATAAAAAGACAAGAAAAGGCAAATGCATAGAGACCACAGTTTGCTAGTGGTTGCTAGGGGCAGGAGAGAGAATATGGAGGGCCCATGGTGCTGGAAAAATCACATTGATTATTATATGTAATTACATATAATGATTTATATATCTGTTGCTGATGGTTGTAATTGCTGTCAATAAGTTGTTCGATCTACTTTTAAATACATCATTCAAACATGTAAATCATATTACCTAAAAGGATGTAATTGAAGCTCTGCCAAATGATTTTTCAACTGGTTCTACCCTGGCTTTGACTGCTGCTGCAAGGAAGTATGTTAGGTTACATAATGACACAACTCTTGATGCTCTGAGCTCTATCTGGTCATTAGCTGGAAGTCCAGCTTCTTCTGGTGCTTCTCAGGTGCCTTGAGATTCCCCAAAGATGTTAGTATAACTTGAAAGTTCTTGAGTTGCACTAGTCCTAGGTCCTCCAAGACTCCTGCAAGGACAGGAGTGGGGGTGAAGCAAAAAGCAAAAAGAAAAGGATCTCACATTTCAAAACAAGTGCCTATGTCCTTGTAAACTTCCCCTAGACTCATATTTCATCAAGAAAACATTGTCAACTTCTCTGGAGCATATTTTTCAAAGCAAGTTGTAAAATTCCATAGTACCTAATTCTGTTCTTTATGTTAGAGCTCTATGGGTTTACTGACAGTCCCTTGGTGGCACAAGTGATTTGCTCTCCACTACTAACTCTGGTGGCATAGTGCCTAAGGCATCTGACTGCTAACCAGAAGGCCGGAGGTTCAAACCCACCAGCCATTCCTCAGAATGAAGGTTGGGCAATCTACTTCCGTAATGATACTGCCTCGGAAACCCAAGGAGGGGTCGCTATGAGTCAGATCTGACTCTGCGGCAGTGAGTTTTGAGTTTTGCTAACCTAGAGGTTGGTGATTTGAACTCATCTGGTGGCGCCATGCAAGAAAGGCTGGGTGACCTGCTTCCGTAAGACTGTAGCCAGAAACCAGCAGTTCTACTCTGTCACACATGGAGTCACCATGAGCTGTAATCTTTTTGGCAGAAATTTGGTTTTTTGTTTACAGAGTTTTGGGGGTGGGGTGGGGTAAAGAGGAAGAGGAAGAAAGCAGAAAAAGACTGAAAAACAGTCAAGCATACCCTAGAATGTTTGCATAAGAGATCGGTATGAACTGAGATAACTGTTGTGAAATTGTTTATCAAGGCAAATGGTCTTCAGACAAAGACCCGGCTAAGTACTGTTTTGTGGTGGACAGTCCGCCACAGGAACAACTGCTCCAGTATCTCTGACCCTTTGAAGCTGCTCTGCCTGATGTCCCCTGAGAACTTCCAGGGAGCAGTGAACTATCAGAATGTCAGCC